TTTTTGTTTAAATCATTATTTCCATCTTTTTTTTTTTTTTAATGAATAAAAATCATTGAAAATTGTTATATGCTAAGGGTGCTATCGAATAATTTAATTTATAGAATAGCAGTATTTACCTAAAAAATATTTCGAAATTAACAGTTGAAATTCTTATCAGTTAGTGAAGATTGTAAATACAATCATATGGTGATAAGTAAATATAAACCTTAAAAAAAAAGAACAAATTCAAAATGTAAACTTAAAAAGAAGGAAAACAAAAATTTGAAAATTTTTACAAAACAATTCAATTTTTTTAATGATATATTACAGTGTGTAGCAGGTTGTAATCGACGACGAATTACTGTAAGACGAGAAAAAAATGGTACGACAAATGCGCTAACAGCAGGAATGCAATTTTGGATGGATACGAATGCATATGCAAGTAAAATTTGAGATGAATTTAAGTAAAAAAAATAAATACTTCAAAATCTTAAAAAATTGAAATTAACAATTTCAAAGGTTGTGATTTTGAAAAAAAATAGAATAAAATTACAAAATGTATTGCTCAAGTGATTTAAAGTAATTATTTTCAATTTGATATCTGTAAAAGTTAAATACAGAAGAACGAAAATATATATATGAATGTAATTTGTAATAATAAGGATTTAAAGATTTCAGAAGATTGAAATTTAGTAAATTTATGAAATTTCTAATCGTTTAATTTAATTAGTGAAAATTATAATAAGTTAGGAAATATTATTGATTATAAAAATGTTCCAAATAATTTCAGGTCGAACTGAGCATTCACCAATTAAAAATGTCCAATTAGGTTGTATGGATGTTGTCACATCACAAGAGCATAACAATTTTGAGGATACAATTGAAGGATTAATTTTTATTAATATAAATGAAACGGAACAATATCCAATTCGATATATTATCCAATGGAAGCAAAGAACATACGATGGTAGTATAACAGGAGAAAATGGTTGGATTACGGCATCGGTTTGTTCAAATTTTATTCATTTCACCAGATATAAATTAGTAAAAATAATTATTTTTTTCTTATCATAAAATAATAATAATTATTATTATTATATTAATATTAATAATAATGATGACTATCATTGATAATTTGTCTTTTGTTTTTTCGTTATCATATAATAATAATTATTATTATTATATTAATATTAATAATAATGATGGCTATCATTGATAATTTGTCTTTTTTTGTTTTTTTATAAATTACAAAATAATTCAAATTTAAATTCAATAATTTATTTTCTTCTCAAAAAAAAAAATTGTCAAGTTTATGAAAAATATTGTAAGCTCTTAAAAAAAAAAAAAAATTGTCCCAATTTTTCAGATTGAATCAGAGCCAATAATTAAAGTTGAAGGTATGATACCGATAATGCAATATAGGTTTATGGTAACTGCTGTTGGTCCTGGTGGACGTTTGGGTGGTCCAATAATGAGCAATTGGGCGCAAACATTAACAATTGATGAAAAATTACATGTACCAGGTAACATATTTCAAATTAATAAACTTTCTTTATTAATTTCTATTAGTTAAAAAACGATGCAAATTACAGGTAAGAGTTGATATTTGAAAAAAAAATTGAAATGTGAATTTTAATTAAACTCAAAACTTTGATTTTTCCAAAGATAAACTAAAATAGATTAAAATAACTTAAAAAAAAAGAACAACAAAAAAGTAAATGAAAAAAAAAACGAAAGAATATATTTGTAATTACCTTGAAATCTTCCCGAATTAATTCCACTTCATTTTTTCATCAAATATTTTTTTGAAAAAAAAAAACTAAAATTTTTTTACGAAGAAGAATATCTATTAATCGATTTATATAATTGGCTGTTTAGGTATCTTTTTTTTTTCCCATTTTTTTGCCCGATATTATTCATTCATAAATCATTTGCCTTCAAAAATTTTTCCCAGAAAATAAAATTTCAAAAAAATAAAAATAGTTATCCATTCCATGCCGATTTATCGTTTTTGTCCTTTACATTTATAATTTAACTAGCTTTTTTAATTTAAAATTTTTTTCCGAAAACTTGAAAATCTTAAATCTTTAACTTATTTAATTACCTTTACTTATTTAATTATTTTTTTCATTTGCTTAATTTTTCAATGTTTATTTAATATTTAATTATATTTATATTTCTCTTATTTGTTTAATATTTATTTTACTTATTTTAATATTTGCTTATTTAACTATCTTTCAGGTATTTGAGTTTAGTTTTTCTTTTTTTTTTTGCTCTTAATCAAAGGTATTGTAATTAAATGGCAATCGTACGATATATTATCGAAAATTTTTACCTGAAATGAACTTTTGTTGTTATATACGGTATTCATGGTATACTGTTACTTATCTATGCCGCATACTGTATGTAACAATAAAAGTAGTAATGAGTTTAAAAATGATTAAATTTAAAAATTTATACGGTATTTTTGTTCCTATTTTTTTTTTTTTTGCAGTTGGACCAATGATGATAACAACACAATACAATAATGAGGATGGTTTATGCGCACTGATAAAATGGTACCATTCACCATATCAACGTGAACCATCATCGGACATTTCCGATGATAGGCGAGCAATGTTTGGTAACTGTCATTACAGTATTACCATACTTAATGAAACTTCACGAGAAACTGTATTATTTACATTGGTTAGTTTAAAATTTTATTAATCGAAAAATTAAAAAGAAATTATCTTTAATTTTTTTTGACTTAAAATATAAAATGTTTCGGATATAATATTTTTTGTCCTGTAATCAAAAAAATTTTTTTTAAATATTCAAATAAATTATTTGTTTATTTTGGTATGCAATGATTTTTTGCATATTTGAAATAATCGAGAAATTTGATATATGTTAAGTTTTTTTATTTCAAATTTATTAGCGCTAATTTTGCCATATAAAAATGTTTAATGAAAAATTCATTCCTTATTTATTAAAAATTTAATGTAATATTTAAGTATTTATCATTTCTGATACAATTATAAAATTCTTTTTAGGATAATGGCAATGGTATTTTATTATCAAATTTGCAATTCTCAACTGAATATTCTGTAGCAATTCGGTCGATTTCATCAGCAATGACAGTAAATTCATTATTGTTGCATCAAAAGAATATGTCAACTGCAGGTGACACAAATGGAATACTAGAACAGAAATTTTTAACACCAGCATGTAACGAAGTATTTGGTTCAGGAAGTCTTGAATGTGGTAAGTAAAATAATTAATTACGAATTATAATATGCTAAATTATGTTTTTAATTATTCGATCTTTTTTTTGTAATAATTTGTGATTTTATTTTTTTTATTTTTGTTTTTTTTTAGCCCCTGAACCAGTTAAAAATTTGGAAGCAATGGTAAATTCAAATGGTTCAGTGAATATTAAATGGATACCATCAAGTGAACCAAATACTGTTTTAGTTTATCAATTACTTTATCAATCATTAACAAATCATTATGATTGTGATAAAGATTCTTCTAGCATTTATATTAATGCGGTTAGCTTTTTCCACTTTTCTTTTTTTGAAAAAAACTGTCATATGTTTTATCAATAATTTAAAATTATTCTTGGCCCATACTAGGCTTTTTAATGCCTTATAGATTAGGCTATATTTTGTTTGTATCAAAGAAAGTGTTGATGGAAAAATGTTTACTATTGATGATGTACTTACTAAAATATTTAATATTTAAGTACACCACTCTTAATATTTAAGTACTAGTAAAATTAGTGAAATATTTAATATTCAAGTAATATATTTAATACTTTACTAGTAAAATCAGTAAAATATTTAATATTAAATTGGTGAAATATTCAATATTCAGGTATTTGATTTAATATTTAAATACTTACTCCAAAAAATAACTCGGAAACTCTATGTTAATATCAATTTGAAATTTCAAAAAAAAAAAAAAGTAGAAAACATTTAGGCCTAAGCATTATAATTTTATTTGATAATTTATTGAAATTTGGATAAAATTTTTAATTACTAAATTTTTAAATATAACAAAATTTCTGTGAGGAGTAATTTAGATTTGCAAAATTTTTAATCAATTACTAATTAGATTACATTATATTATGTGTAATAATGTTAATAATTAAATATTACATTTCATATTGCATGTATTAGTATTATTTCATATTATATTGGTTGAAACCACTTGCAAACAAAAAGGATTGTGATAGTTAACTAAATTTCTTTTCTGATTAATTTTTTTTTTTTTTGTATAATCATTGTGATATCAACAAGATTATCAATTTCAGTAAAAAGAAAAATTCAAATTTTTTTTTTCTTTTAGGGTTCAACAACTGCAACAATACAATTACATGGTCGAACACATTGCGAATATTCGATCAAATTAATTAATTATGATCTAATTGGACGTGAAGCTAGTACCGAAATAATCATTTGGTATCGACCAGATATTCATGTATTTAATTCCAATCTAATTTATACTTATCCTATATTAATACTAATGTCTATTATTAGTTTATTAAAATGTTGCATATGTTTATGTTGTCCCACTACCACAAATAATCGTTCAATCATTTTATCAGGTTGTAACAAAAAAGATACTGTAACAATTTTATGATATATATTATATTTAGTCATATTGAATATTCTTTTTTGTTATATATTTCTTCCTCGTATATTATAAATGCTTATTGACAAAAAAAAAAGAGAGAATTTGAAAATAATTAATTATAAAATTTCAATACCAAAAATTTAATTTAAAATCGGAAAATTTTTCTCGACTTCTTATTACCATTCTTTGTTTTTGTTAATTAACGAATAATTAAATTTGATGAAAAATGGATTTGATATATCTATTTCTTTCCTTTCTTTTTTTTTCTTTTTTGCTTGGGAGTACTTTTTATCGAAGTTGTCAAGGAAAAACGAAAAATTTTACTTTTTTAAAATTTCTAAACAAAAATTTCAAAGATAATATGAAATAAGCATTATGTGTTTTCCAAATTTTCAATTTTAAGTGAAGATTTTGAAAAAATTTTAGAATTTTTTTTTCTCCTCAAATATTTTAATTATTTTCTTATCAGATGAATTAAATTAGGC